CCCCCCCCCCCCCCCCCGCCACGCACACACACAGGCTACCCAACAGAAAGACTGACAGACACATGTACCCCTTTAGTTATAGGAGAAAAGTCAGTGTCTGGAACTGAGGTGAGTGAGTAGCTCAGTTTTCTACATTTGATATCCAAAGACAGAATATGTTGGGAAGCCAGAGTCAGACCATCTTTTACCCTTGTGTCAAGATCATTGTCTGATCTGGGCAAAAATGTATCCTGTCGACTCCCAGCTTGCCCGGAGTTAAGCCCTTTGCCAGCTGCAGTCCAGAATTGCTTTGCCTTTGGCTTCTCTTTGATGCATCCATCCTTGGCCTGCAGTTGACTGGAAGAGGGGTGAGCCCTAGACCCCCTTTTCTAACAGGCTGAATTGCCAAAAACTGCTATCTTTTTCTTCTCCCTGGCCTGAAGGAAGGATGGGGTGAGTCATCTTCATGGCAAGCTCAGGGAAGAGGTTTGCTTCCCTCAACAGTGGGTAACGAAGAGGTCCCACGGCTCCCCTTCAGAAGGGAATGAGAGTAGGATCGAGCTGGAGTGGGATCAGGACAGGAAGTCCTGACAGTGACCATTTTTTCCATGGTATCCAGGCCTTCCTTGGGCTGTGCGTCTTATCAGGAGGGCTTGTCAGACCAGTTCAAACACAGTATCAGATGCATTTCCTTTGGTAGTTTTGTTTTCCTAAAAAGCATACTATAAAGCTTTAAGATTACTCTTGTACACGTAAAGCATACTATAAAGTTTTAAGATTACTCTTGTACACGTACTTGTATATGTACGTATATTTTTCTATGTAAACTGTGAAAGTTATATTTGCTATAAAACATTTAAGCAATAAGAAAACAGAATAAGATGAAACATGAAAATTTACTGCATACTCTCTCCCTCCTTAAAGGCAATCCCTGTTTGGTATATATTCCAAATAGCCTCAGACTTTCTTCTTTGCCTGTAATATGTTTGCTTGTTTGTTTACAGAAGTGGAAACATGCTATCATAATTGAACACTCGTTTGTGAGAATAATTCTGTGGGGGACCTACATAGTCCTACTGTTTCTTTGCATGGATTGCCTTCATTTGTTTAACAAATTACCTGTTTTTGAGCCATTGGTTGCTTCTGAGTTTAGCCACTACAAGCACTCTGGGTCACTTGTTCCAATAGTTCTGTAAGATAAATTCCCAGAAGTGCAATTGCTAGATTAAAATAGATTTCAAAGCCAAATGGATATTGAATATATTTGTGCCCAGTGACGTATAATTTAAAAATGAGATCCTGATGCTCAGCCTTAAAAACAAAAACAAAAACAAAAAACAACTGTAAAATGTATTATTACCTCTCTCTTCCTTAACCCAAGCATTACCACCCCAGCTCCCCACTGAATGTACTCTGAATTTCTATGTAATACAAAAATTAAAATTCATAGTGTGGTACATTCATAGAGGCAATCTACTACTTTGAGTTATATTAAATTTTTTTTTTAATTTTTTTTTCAACGTTTATTTATTTTTGGGACAGAGAGAGACAGAGCATGAACGGGGGAGGGGCAGAGAGAGAGGGAGACACAGAATCGGAAACAGGCTCCAGGCTCTGAGCCATCAGCCCAGAGCCCGACGCGGGGCTCGAACCCACGGACCGCGAGATCGTGACCTGGCTGAAGTCGGACGCTTAACCGACTGCGCCACCCAGGCGCCCCGAGTTATATTAAATTTAAAAAGGCAATATATTAACATTATGATCTCTAGGAGATTTTTTATGTTTTGTAGTTTGTGATCCAACAAACCATCTTAATTTTTGTCTCTTGGTTGGCTGTTGGTTTCATGTTCCCACAACCTCGATCCCACATAATCACGATTCCACATATTGTGTAGGCGGGAACCTGGGATGGGTGGGGTGGGTTACACACAAGAGTCAACCCAGTGCAGTAATCTAAAGTACCTCCCTCTTTCTCCCTCATTCTTGCTTCTCAGAAAAAAATGTAGTCAGGGTTGTGTTTGACTTAGCAAGTTCTCTGCAAATTCACTATGGGGAATGGATAGGGGAACCATAAGATACAAACCGGGCCACTTTGAAAGTAAAAAGGGAGCACTTAAGATAAGTTGTTGGGGTGCCTGGGTGGCTCAGTCAGTTAAGCAGCTGACTCTTGGTTTTGGCTCAGGTCATGATCTCACAGTTTCATGAGTTCAAACCCGCGTTGGGCTCTGTGCTGACAGCGAGGATCATGCTTGAGATTCTCCCTCTCTCCCTCTCTTTCTCTGCCTCTCTCTCTCTCTCTCTCTCTCTCAAAATAAATAAATAAACAAAATTAAAAAAAAAAAAAAAAAGGTAAGTTGTTAATTGATCTACAACAGGCCTGCCCTGGGACTATCCCTGGAAACTGCAACTTGCGGATGCCCTGGGAAAGGGTGAGAGCTGGCCATTATCTGTCCGTTCTCCCTGCTGGTCCAGGGGCATTGACACAAGCAGAAATGAGTTTGCACCATCCCTCTGCCCCCCAGCCTTTCATAGCCCCCCTAGAGTAGAGCCCGAAGCGCAGGGAAGGAGGAGGGGTCAGCTGGATAACCCGGTGCTACATGTGAACTTCTCATTCCCACTAAAGGAGTCAGAGGAGTTGGACACTCCTGTCCCTGCCTACCCCCAGCTCACCATGGGAAAAAAAAAAATCACGACTGCCTTTTCTCAGCAAATTGGAACCATTAAAGCAGGACACTTCTATCATTTTGTCTGTGCTTTTCATGTCCCTGTGAATTAACAGGCTCAACCTCCCTGGATGTCCCATTTGTATGGGATCAGCAAATCGGGATTAAAACTCACCTTGCGTGGTCAGGGGAGATGTTAGTTGGGGGAGAAGCCACAGAGCACTGATCTGATCGCTGGGCAGGGGTGACGGGGGCACCTGAGGTTTAGAACTTGCCTCCCCTACAGCTGGAGCAGGCCAGCTTCTCAGCCACAGACTCGCCCAGGGTGGAGACTGGGAAGACACAGAGGAACTTCTCGAAGCAGCTTGCCTCTGAGCTTCTCTGCCAGAAAACGTCTCCAGCTCTCTGGGGGCGCAGGGGGGTTCTCTGCTTAATACTCTGACTTGCGGGTGAGAGTGGTTCAGATGTGGAATGAAGTGTGTGGTCATCCAACCCCCAGCAAAGCTCCCCGGCATCTTGTGGCCGCTGTCATCCTTTACATCTGGCCCATTTCACCATCTGTGTTGGTGACAGGCAACAAACACAACAAACACACACAAGCTCCCAGGACATCAAAAAGAGACCAGTGCTCTCTGTTTACCCTCCAGCTGAACTGGTGCATCTAATGGGGTGAAAAAATGTCCGAGAAAATTAACCCCCTAATGCCTCCCAGAACATGGAGACTTAAGGTCTCAGCAGTGCCGAGGGAGGGTCACAGAGGCTCTCCTTTCCCCTGAACCCTGGATAGCCCGGATCCCGGGCCTGAGGCAGAGAGGAGGGAGTTGGGGAGGGGGTCAAAGAGACAGCTTCTTTGGTTCAGGCTCCAGGTTCAAGCTGCCAACCTCCTGGAGGAAAAGAGAAGGAGGGGGTTTCAGGATGGGGACCTGGAACAGCAGAAAGAGCCCCCGGGGGCAGGTCCACCAGCAACAACCCCCCCCCCCACCAAGTCCCTGAAATCTGGCTTCCTTCCCTAACCCTCTGCTGAGACCTTATCCTAAGTTTCTAATGAAGCCCGTTCACTGTTCTTTAGCTCCCTAGTGTATGCGACACCCTGACCCAGGTCAAGGTTGATGGAGAACTGATGTGCACTGATACACTGTCCACTTGTCAGAATGGCTAATGCTTCTGAACCACTTAGTAAGCAGTCACTGCCCAAGCTCCCAGTGTCCCACATTCCTGGGAACCCCAACCGCCCCAGATCCAGCCATCACAGGGTTCACCATAAGGCCAATTCTCATTGGCTCGTGTCCCAGCCACAGCTTTGTTAAGTACTCTGCGTATTGCCTCCCCACCTGAGACACCACAAGATTTTGGTTATTCTAATTATCTGTAGAAAAGGAGATCTTCACTGATTCATTTTCTTTTTCTTATTCAACAAGCATTTGTACCTCGCCCACAGTAGCCTAGTGTGGGTTAGGCACTGCAGAGGAATAAAAAGAAGCCCAACCCTCATGTCCTACCACTGTCTAGTTGGAAGGCCCAGATGAGGACACATAAAAAGAAACTGAGTCAGTGGGGCACCTGGGTGGCTCAGTGGCTTGGGCATCTGACTCTGGCTCAGGTCATGATCTCACGGTTCAGTTCGTGGGTTCAAGTCCCGCGTCGGGCTCTGTGCTGACAGCTCAGAGCCGGGAACCTGCTTTGGATTCTGTCTCCCTCTCTCTGCCCCTCCCCCTGCTCACTTGCTCTTTCTCTCTCTCTCAAAAATAAATAAACACTGAAAAAAATTAAAAAAAAAAAAAGAAAGAAACTGAGTGAAGCTGAGTAACAGGGGCAGTGTAAGAGTGCCCCATGCCTATTTCTTCACTCTCTGCACTTTTCTCTCAGGGATCTCCTTCATGCTCACAGGTTCGTGGGCTCCCTCCCAGATTTACACCCCCAGGGGTGTTCTTTCACCAGACCCCTAAATCTTTCCCTCTGACTGCCTACTCCACATGGCTCCTCTTGAATGTGCCATTTTAACCCCATCATGTCCAAAAGAGTGTGTTTCTCCATTCTGTATTCTCTTTATTTTCCCAGGTGAGCAAGTCTTAACTCCTCCTCCTTCCTTTCAGGACATCCCCCAGTGTAAGCCCCCAAGCCATTCCATCTTCTCCTGGCTCACATCCCATCGGTCCCTGTGTCCCAGGTGGGAGTGTACCTTCCTGCTCTTGCCTCACCTGCAACCTTCTCCTTTCCCAGCTGTTGGAACCCAGTCTCCTCTTAAGGGCCACCAGGTCCGACCTCTTCTTTGAGGCAGTCTGTGGCCATTCCGACTTCCATTGCCCACCTCTGCGTTCCTCCAGTTTGTATTTGTTTGGTAACATCCACCACTGTAGTTCAAATTTAGTCCTTAAACTCGTGAACCGTATGTCAGTCATTCCCTGGACTAATCTTGTCGTTTGATCGTGAACAACTGCAGTCTTTTACTGCCATTCGGTTGTTTGGGTTTATAGCTGTTATTCCTCCCTCTAAGAGGCAGGGACCATCCCATATACTTGTGTATTTCCCAGCATCCCCCCACCACCCAGCACCTCACGCTCTTTGATTCATCTTACTGATTAAATTCACATCTCTCCATGCTGGCCCAGATGAGCTAAATAAAGTCATAGGAGAAAGACCATTTCCCTTTCTCAAAACCTAGCTAAGTAAAAATGAACGTGTTCCCAGGCATTGCACAACTTGCAAGTCCCAAACACCAGAGACAGATAGTAAACAAACAGAGCCAGGGCCTCGGAGTTCAGGGAGCCAGAAAACGGAGGGGGAGGGGAGTCAGGATGAGCCGGCTGTGCTGATCTCAGTGGGCTCCTCCTACTTTCACATCTAGCTCTGAAGCTGAGCCTGAGCACGTCCTGGTTCCTCCTACTGAAAAGGAAAAGGGGTCAGCTCCCCTTCCAATGTCAAAACCAACTCACACAGATTACATTGTAACAGCAACTCCGTGCTTGGGAGGGTTTTGCAGCTTTACCACACTTGCAGACAACTGAGGCTGGGTCAGTAGCCCTGCAGATGAGTTGAGGAGGTATTATTATCATCGACACAAGCTCCTGTGTTATTACTCCTGTTTGTATTATTTGGCAGAGTTAAGCTCGCTTTATTACAGAAGGGACGTGTGGAGCACTTTTTACAGGACATGTGCTGTGCTGAATGCTTTACAGGTGCATTCTCATTTAATCCTTACTTGCAGTCTTTCAAAATAGGTGCTACAATTATCACAGTTTTACAGAGGAGAGGACTAAATCTTTGCAAAGTAACTTGTCCAAGGTCCCACAGCCTCAAGTGACAGAATGGGAATTTGAGCGTGGGTCTATTTGCAAACTCTTTGCTTTTCACCCCATCTCTCAAGGCCTTTCCCCCCCCGAACAGGGAGCTGTGGCAGAGAGGCCTGGGCCCCCTTCTCCCTCTCTGGGCTCGGGAGCCACGGTGCCGGCCCCGGGAAAGGGGGTGCGAGATGACGTCTTCCTCTAAGATTGCTGCCTTTTGTCCAAATGTGCTGGCCAGGAGCCAAGCTGGAAACTCTCTGCTCATGGAAAGAAAGAGAACAGAAGCCAGCAAAAGAGGGTGGGAAAGGGTCTGAGGGGGAGGAAAGGAAGAGGAGGGCAGGAATTAGGGAGAGAGGAGGTGGGAAAGTGAGGAGTTTGGGGCAGCACAGCTGGAGTCAGAGATGGGTGTCAGGAAGCAAATAAAATGTGCCTTTCAGGTGCATCCCTTCAAGTGGCTACCTCGTGGTGTGGTGCGGCAGCCAGCCCTGGGAGGCACAGGCCCCTGGGAGGCACAGGCCCCTGGGAGGCACAGGCCCCTGGGAGGCACAGGCCCCTGGGAGGCACAGGCCCCTGGGAGGCACAGGCCCCTGGGAGGCACAGGCCCGGGGGCTCTCCAGGTGCCCAAGGGTCAGGACAGATGGGGCAGGGGGCCCTGCCTCCCCTCCTCAGTATTACTGTTCGGTGAGGTCAGGTTACAGTGAACATCAGGAGAGCATTCAGAGGAAAAATAAGTCACAAAATGGCAGCCTGAGGGCTGCTTCTGGAAGTGGAAGAGAGGGCCAGGCAGTGCCTTGGTGCCAGGGTGTTCATGGTGGGCAGGAAGGAGATGGAGGGGAGGTAAGAGAGGGGATGGATGCTGGGTACTTGGAATAAAATCCAAGTAACACTTTTACTGAGTAGCTACTCTGTATCCAGGAGGGGAAGGTCTGTACCCGCCCCCCCCCCCCCGCATTTATTTGGGTGTTAGGCACTGGACTTTTGAATCTGACAACCTGGATTTATTCAGCATGCATGTGACCTTGGGAAAAACTTACTCCCTCCAGGCCTCAGTTTCCACATCTGTAAAGGGGAGGCAATAGTAGGGTTGGTGTGAGGATTCAACAAAACAATCCATGTAGAATCTTGCCTAGAGAATAGTAGATGCTCAATAAACGTTAGCCATGAGTTCATTATTGCAGTTGGAAGTGGCAAACATGTGGACCTTGGGTAAAAAGTATTTAAATAATAGTCGAAGCATGCTTATTAGATGATCAAATGTAGATAAGTTAATAACTGCTCTAGAAATTCAGAGAGCGGGGAAGAACTTTAGTTTGTGGGGTGGTCACAGTAGGTTCTGTGGAAATTTCAAACTAGATTTTGAGGGCTTGGTGGGAATATAATAGCAAAGAAAAGGGAGGGTGACAGCCGAGGGAAAGAACATGAACAGAAGTGCGGGGATGGGAACGTTCCAAATTGCTGAAGTGCAGGAGTATTTGCCACTGGACTATCCTAGCTCCTCTTGCCCGCAGTGTAAACTTGGGCAACGTATTTCATTTACATCCGTTTCAGCTGCAAAAACAGCTGATCGCCAGGATGCTGCATCCAATGGAAGGGCGTCTGGGCGTCACCTAACAGAGCCGCCCTCTCTGTCTGTGTCTGGGTGGTTTCTTGCTGGGTCCCTCCTCTCCGTGTTTCAGTGCCTTTCTTTCCCTGTTTGTTTACTTCTCAGTCTTTGTCTTTCTTTCTGATTCTCTGCCTCAACTTCTATCTTACCCTCAGTCTCCAGTTCATTTCTTTTAACCTGCTAACATTAAGTCTCTTTTCCTCCCTGGAATAGGGCAGGGAAGCTCTGAACACTGTATCTGTTCATTTGTCTTTTTATAAAAAGAAAAAGCAGGGGCGCCTAAGTGGCTCAGTTGGTTTAAGCATCCGACTCTTGATTTCGACTCAGGTCATGATCCCATGGTTCCTGAGATAGAGCCCCACGTTGCTGTTTAGGATTCTCTCTCCCTCTCTCTCTCTTCCTCCCTCCCTCCCTCCCCTGTGTGCATGCGCCCTCTCTCTCTCTCTCTCAAAATAAACAAATAACTTGAAAAAAGAAGAGGGGCGCCTGGGTGGCTCGGTCGGTTAAGCGTCCGACTTCGGCTCTGGTCACGATCTCACGGTCCGGGAGTTCAAGCCCCGCGTCAGGCTCTGTGCTGACAGCTCAGAGCCTGGAGCCTGTTTCAGATTCTGTGTCTCCCTCTCTCTCTGACCCTCCCCCGTTCATGCTCTGTCTCTCCCTGTCTCAAAAATAAATAAACGTTAAAAAAATTTTTTTTTAATAAAAAAGAAGAAAAAGCATTCCATGGGAGCCAGTGGCTAAAGTTACCTCGCATCTGTAGGGCAAATGCTTTTGTTTTTGTCGCTGTTTAAAAATCTCTCAACATCCTAAGACCAAAAACATTTCTCACTTCTTAAAGAACAAAACAAAAACAAAACAAAACAAAACAAACACCAACCACCAAAAACCCACTAACCTCAGAAATCTCTCTGGGTTTCTGAAGAGGTGGGGTGACCAAGAAGAGAGGAGAACCACCTTCATCAAGAACACGGCACTAGTAGACCCAGGTTCTTCTTTCCATAGAAACAGGAGTCATCTGGGGAAAGGAAAGGAGTGTGGAGCTGGTGAGTGAGCTCTGGACGGGGCCACGAACCCTGGGTCCTGCTTCTGCCTTAGCCATCACCCAGCAGGGTGTCCAATAAGGTGAGCCACAAAACTCTTGGGCCACAGTGTCATCGTTTCTAGCCCCAGCTCCCCCCCACCCCCGCCGGTCCGTCCCCTTTCTGTGTTCATATTTAGTAGCTTCTCCAAGCCAGGGGCCTTTCTGACTTCATTATGTGTCCCCTCCCCTTTTTTTCTTTGAATTTCCTCACTAGGCTGGGGCCTCCTAAAAGCACTGTCATTTATAGGCCGGATTCCCAGTACTGACTGGGTCACAAGGGTAGAATTGCTGAGGCCAGGAGGATGTGGAAGGCTGGGTCAGCCTGTGCAGGCGTCATTCCCAACAGGGTCCTGGGAGAAGGGGCTCAGCATTTCCTGAAAGGAAGTGACTCCCATAAATAGACAGAGGGATGGGAAAAGGATTCGTCCATCCCTTCCCTCCTGTCAACTCGGCTCTTCCTTCTGTTGTCCAGACTATGCAAACTCTTGCAAATGTTTTTCATTCAAATGTGTCCCTGCCAGTGTGTGTGTGGGGGGGGGGGGGGGGGGGAGATGTGATATCTGCTTTCTTGTGTATATATCGCAGATCTAAAGAACTGAAGAAGGCGTACGTGCCTTTTATTTGTTCATTTACCCACAGTAACCTCTCATTAGTCCATTCCAATAAAAAGCTGGAGTTTTTCTCAGTGGGGTTTTATTGTCAAGAAAGGAAGGAGAGTGTTCACCTTCTGATTCCATGTCCTATTTCAGGGTTCATTCAAGGGTTCAGCAGCTCTCCTGTAATAAGGCTTATAATATGCTCTTCAGCTTCTTGGAAAGGTGAGGTCGCAGGATAACTTTACTAAGAAGTTTCCGGCACCTCCAGTGCCATGAAGTGTCTCCGCAGGGACAGAAAGGGACTTCTTGAGAGCTGCTCTTCTGACCCTCAGTCGTGCAACGGGAAAGATCAGAGAGCACCCAACCTCCTGCGCTAGGCTGGAGGCAAACCCAGTGGGGCTTGCTCAGCTTCAGCCATACGGTTGCAGATTCATGTTTAAAACTCATACATACAGTAGCTTTACTTTTTCGCTTTGGGAAAGTAGTTGAATGTAGCAGCTGAACACAGATTGAACAGAACACTGCGTGAAGATGTCTGGTGGCACCCATGGGCAGAAGTGCAGCCTAGACTCAGGAGGCGACTGGATCCAGGGGATGCCAGGCCATCTTTGCACTGGCATCATTCTCTCCAACAGCCCAGCCCTCCGCTCCTTACTCCGCAGAGTGAAAGATGGCCACCTCACAGCACTCGTTTCTGTCTTCCAGGACACAGATAGACGCCACTCCCTAGGAGTGAAATCTGATTGGTCCGACTTGAGTCAGGCCTCCTCTGGAGCCAATCAGCTGTGGGTGGGGGTGGGCTCCTCACTCAAACATGGCTGCCAGTGACCCTGGGACCCTTCGAATGAAGGATGGGGCAGTTTGTAGAAAAAGGGAACTGCTTGTGAGGTAGGCAAGCTCGCATGGCGCCTGCCGTATCTACTACTTGGGTCATGTTTCTTTAACCATTTCGTGTTCATTTGTTTTACCATTGTACTCATAAGTATCCTACTTTCTGGGATTCATTCGCTAAGTACTTTGCCAGAGATACTGCTTGTGAAGGAAGTAACGACATTCTAGAGCAAGGGCTCTGGGGCTAGACAGGTCTCTTTTAAAATCTAAGCGTGCCTGGGTGGCTCAGTCGGTTAAGCGTCGGGTCTCGGCTCACGTCAGGATCTGGCGGTTCGTGAGTTTGAGCCCTACATCGGGCTCTGTGCTGACAGCTCAGAGCCTGGAGCCTGCTTCGGATTCTGTGCCTCCCTCTCTCTCTCTCTCTGCCCCTTCCCCATTCACACTGTCTCCCTCTCAAAAAAGAGTAAACGTTAAAAAAAAAAAAAAACCCTTAAAAAATATATAAAAAGGGGGCGCCTGGGTGGCTCAGCCGGGTAGGCCTCCGGCTTCGGCTCAGGTCATGATCTCACGGTTCCTGGGTTCAAGCTCCGCGTCGGGCTCTGTGCTGACAGCCTGGAGCCTGGAGCCTGCTTCGGATTCTATGTCTCCTTCTCTCTCTGCCCCTCCCTAACTTATACTCTGTCTCTCTATGTCTCTCAAAAAATAAATGTAAAAAAAAAAAAAAGTTAAAAAGAAAAAAATCATGTACCTGTTGGTACATGATCCTAGATACTTAGATTCATCCTTTCTCCCCCCTCCCACCTTCCTTCCTTTCTTTTTTTTTTTTTTTTTTGGTAATAGCTTTATTGAAGTATAATTCACTTACCATAAAAATTCATCCATTTAAAGCCTACAATTTCATGGTTTTTGGTGTATTCACAAAGTTGTGCAACCACCACCACCACAGTGGTTTAGAATATTTTCATCACAGGGAAGAAGAAACCCATACTCCTTAGCAACCACTTATCTACTTTCTGTCTCTATAGCTTTCCCTGTTATAGACATTTCATATAAATGGACTCATACGATATATGGGCTTTTGTGACTGGCTTGTTTTCATTTAGCATAATATTTTCAAGGTTCACGTTGTAGCAGGTATCGGGACTTTGTTACTTTTAGGGCTGGGCAATATTTCATGGTATGGATATACCACATTTGGGTTATCTCTTCATCAGTTGATGGCGTTTGGATTATTTCCACTTTATGGGCATTCTGAATAATGCTGTGATGAATGTTAGTGTAGAAGAACATATGTGGACATATGTTTTCATTTGTCTTGAGCGATGCATTATTTCTGTAATTATGTTTGCGAAGAGCTTAAATCAATGCCTGACAGATCACCGGATGTAGCAGTGCTAATTTCTTTACCCTGACCTTCTCAAAGGTTATGAATGAAAGCTATTTCCTGCTTGCTGCCCTTAGAAGAAAGTCAGGCTCCCTAAAAGGCCTGACCCCTGTGGGTCAGACTCTGAGGTTACTGTCCCCAAGGGGTCCTGGCATCACCAATTAGCAGATTCTTGCATCAGGTTGTGAGAGGTCTCAATCCTGGGTGGTTCTAGTTAAAGATACTGAGGGAGCAGATAAGGAGGTTTGAGGACCAAACTACAGAATTTGGAGTGGAGAGTTACGAATTCCCTATCCTGTCTCTTAAACAGTCATGATTCTGGGCAAGTCTCTGAACCTTGATTTTCTCACCTTCAAAATGAGGATAACAGTAATGCGTCTGGAAATTGGTGGGAGGGAGTGGGCTTCTGTATGTTATCATGTGTGTATACTATGGGTGCTGCACAATGTATTGTAAGCTCTAGGGCTGTCCCAGAAAAAGTCAGATTTTTGAAAATCCACTGAAATCACAGTGGGTTCTGAAGGCAGTTGGAGCCCCTCTGGGGTTGGTGTTAACCGTTCAAGGCTGCAACCCATCATGTGAAACCCATTCTTGCCTGCAGCTGGTTCTCTGGCTCAGAGAAAGATGCGGGTTATCCTCCTGTAGTTCACTACTTCTGCAAGCACATCGGATTTTCTCTTTTTAAGTAGGCTCCATGCCCAGCGTGGGGCTTGAATTCACGACCCTGAGACCAAGAATCATATGCTCTATTAACTGAGCCAGCCAGGCGCCCCAGGCACATCAGATTTGCGGGGTGATCTTACACGAACACCTTTGGGCTGTTTGGTTATTCCAGCATCATTTATTTAAAAAGTCCATCTTTGGGGCGCCTGGGTGGCTCAGTCGGTTAAGCGTCCGACTTCAGCTCAGGTCACGATCTCGCCGTCCGTGAGTTCGAGCCCCGCATCGGGCTCTGGGCTGATGGCTCAGAGCCTGGAACCTGCTTGTGATTCTGTGTCTCCCTCTCTCTCTGCCCCTTCCCCGTTCATGCTCTGTCTCTCTCTGTCTCAAAAATAAATAAAAACTTAAAAAAAAAATAAAATAAAATAAAAAGTCCATCTTTGCCCTAGTGATTTAAGATGCCACCTTTATCATATATAAAGTTATTATTTTTTTTAATTTTTATTTATTTTTGAGAGAGAGAGAGTCTAGACAGAGTGCAAGCAGGGGAGGGGCAGAGAGAGGGAGACACAGAATCCGAAGCAAGCTCCAGGCTCTGAGCTGTCAGCACAGAACCCGATGCAGGGCTCGAACCCACAAACTCTGAGATCATGACCTGAGCCAAAGTCAGAGGCTTAACCCACTGAGCCACCCCGTCACCCTTGCCATATATAAAGTTGTGTGGCTAGGTCTAGCCTTTCTATTTTGTCCCACCAGTGTATTTATCTATTCTTATAGCGGTACCACACTGTTTTAGTTACAGAAGCTTTAGAGTACGTTTTAATATATGATCGTGGTCCCCAAACCCCACCTCCCCACACACATTCTTTTTTATTGTTCTTCTTTCATTTTTCTTTTTATTTTTCTTCTTTCATTTTTCTTAGCTCTTCTTGCATGTCTGGTATTCAGGTTTTAAAGTTTTCATTGTCCTCCTGGGAGGTCCTGGTGGAGGATCAGAGTGGGTTGGGGGCTGAGTTGTCTTTTGGACCTGGCTGTGCTTACTTACTTTAGTAAACTGGTTTTGTAAGATTCTGTTTTCTTTCAAATTCATGAGCATTTAAGACTTCTAGTGCCTGGATAGAACTTACTTTCCCTAAACCTTCCAAACAGCATTTTAAAGCAGTCTTTAATAGAGTGTTAGAACTTGGTAAACTTGGATGAAGGGTTTATAAGACTTTTCTGTAATATTCTGGCAACTGGGGGCACCTGAGTGGCTCAGTTGGTTAAGGTCCAGCTCTTGATTTCAGCTCAGGTCATGATCTCAGGGTTTATGGGTTTGAGCCCCGCATTGGGCTGCACAGACAATGCAGAGTCTGCTTGGGATTCTCTGTCTCCCTCTCTCTCTGTGCCTCCTCCATGCATGTGTGCGCCCCTTCTCTCTCTCCCTCTCTCTCTCTCTTTCTCAAATAAATAAAAAAGTATTCTGGCAATTGTTCTTCAAACTTGAAATCATTTCTGAATAAAAAAAATCTGTAAGGTCATTAGGCTTAGGGTAATATCTTAGTAAAAGCTTTCAGAAAATCTGCACAAATTGTATTCACAGATTCTGCCTTGGTTCACATGTTGATTGACCCCTGCAGTGGAATCCAGCCACTCAGTTCAGTGTAACCTCCTTATGGAATCTGTGCTGCTTTTCATTCAGTGGTTTGTGCCTCTTTAAGTGTTTAGTCATCCTGAGATTATGCAAACATCTATGCAAAGGAAATTCAGCCCATCCTTCAAGCCCAGGCCCACAAAGGATCTTGCCTTCACTCTTTTGTATCAGAGACACTCTTGTGCGTCTTTCCCTCCAGCTTTATTGAGATATAATTGACCTACAACATTCTGTAAGTTTAAAGTATGCAACATGATGATATGATATACGTATACATTGTGAAGGTTAGTTAACACATCTGTCACCTCACAGTTAACTTGTGTGTGTTTGCAGTGAGAACATATAAGAGCTACTCCTTTAGCAACTTTCAAGTACATAGTACAGTCTTGTTATGTGCATCTTCTTTCCTGTACAAGAATGAAAACTCTCAGAGGGCAAATCAATCTCTTTATTTTATATTTCTCTCAGGCTTCGCTCGGTTTCCCTTGCAAAGCAGACACAACTATTAGTTGGAAGAATGAATTATAGGATTATTTTCCTGTTAACCATATGTTTCCATATAATCTCTCTTTGGACCCAGGGCAACATCTGTACTGGGAAGTGGCAGGCCAGAATACAAGTCTTGGTGGTCACTAAGGGAAAGGCGGTAATGAGAACAGTGTCACTTACCCTTTCATTTAGGAGGTAGCTGTGCCATAACAAAACAAGTGCTGGACTGATGGGTTCAGGCCAGCCCAGTGCCCAGCCACACTTGTGGCCATAAGGCAACCAGAGCCTTTTAAGGGGCGCCACAGGGCAGACTCAGACACCCACAGACAACAGGGTTTACATGTTCCCCATTATTTGTGACATTAATAGTAATGTGTGCTTATTATAGAAAGTTTAGGAATCTGTTTTTTGTTGTTGTTGAATTATAGGTAAGTATAGAG